ATACCGAAGATGATAACTTGATGTTAATCTTACCTTTCTGTGATTGAGGAAAATCCTGTTTATTAATGTTTATTAATGTATTATTATTATTTATCATCATCATCATCATCATCATTATCATCATCATTATCATCATCATTATCAACATTATCATCATCATCATCATCATCATCATCATCATCATCATCATCATCATCATCACCATCATCATCACAATCATCATCATCATCATATCGAGAACTAGACATTGAAGGTGAAAATCGGAATATATATAATTAAAAACCCAACGAAGTGCAGCATTTGGTGTGGATTTGACTGGACGAGCGTTTTCGAATAAAGAAAATCTGGAACAAATTTTAATCGTTTCTTGTACTAGGGAGGCCGAGGGGGAAATGGAAGAAGCCGATATGCAAAGGGGGAAATGGATTTAGCTGGATCTGTGTGTTTGTGGTGTGTGTGTGTGCGTGTGTGTGTGTGTGTGTGTGTGTGTGTGTGTGTGTGTGTGTGTGTGTGTGTGTGTGTTGCGTGTGTATGTGTGTGTGTGTGTGTGTGTGTGTGTGTGTGTGTGTGTGTGTGTGTGTGTGTGTGTGTGTGTGTGTGTGTGCGTGCAGTGTTTTGTGTACGCGTCCCAGTGTATTTACATTCCGATATCTCGAGAACCGGACACTATATGAAGTTTGCTCAACTTACTTGTCTATCTCAAACAAATATTTGCAATGGACGCTGAACAACAATCATAAAAAAACGTTATTGTTTGAATAAAGATATCAGTATAATTGATGATAATAATCATAATGATTATGATGATGATAAAAGTAATAGTAATGATAATGATACAATAAATTTATGATTATGGTAATACTAACAATAATGGTAGTAATGGAAGTAGAAGCTGCATTAAATACAGATCTTATAAGGACGATAATAGCATAAAGGGACTGGTGGTGATGATAAAACCATTTTTCTCGAAAGACCAACAGAAAATATTCTTGGTGTCAGCAGTAAGAAATTATAAGAATCAGACAAAGACAATGCTAAAAAACGACAGGAAAACCAGCAACAGTAAAAAAGATAAATGTAAAGGAACAAGAAGAAGAATTAAGATTTATATTGGGAAGAACTCTTTTCTGTTTTATGTATTCTTATCGTTTTTTTTTTTTTTTTTTTTTAACTAGATTAGGCAAAGCATGTTGGAGGTGCGGATGCGCGTACAAATACACAATTACTTGTTGGATTTCATTCTCTCTCTCTCTCTCTCTTCCTCTCCTCTTTCTCCCTCCCCCTCCCTCCCTCTCCCTTCCTCCCTCATCTTCTCTTCTCTTCTCCCTCTCTTCCTCTTTCCCTCTCTCCTCCCTCCTTCCCTCCTTCCCTTTCTCTTTCACATTTTCTCTCTCTCTCCCTCCCTTCTCTCTCTCTCTCTCTCTCTCTCTCTCTCTCTCTCTCTCTCTCTCTCCCTCACGCTATCTCTCTCTCCAATTCCATTTATAAAGTAATGTACTGAATTGCGCATAAATCTCTTCAAATAAATAGCAAATCTATATTCATGAAACTGCTATATTTTTCCTTTTTTATTTTTCTCCTTTCCACCACATCATACTGATTTTCTCTCCTGTTTTTTTTTTTTTTTTTTTTTTTTTTTTTTTTTTTTTGGATGACTAGTCCATTCCCGAATAGCTATTATTGTTGATATATTCATTCATTTATATCAAGTCTCTATCTATCCATCTATCTATTTGCCTCTTTCTCTGTAAATTATCAGCTATTTTTTATTTTTTATTATTATTTTTTTAATCTTTGGATTTTTGGTGTATTTATTTTGCAATCGATCACACTTTTAAAGAAAAAGCGGAATGAATCATAGCGATCTCATTAATAAGATTATAAGATCAAAGATGTTCATGTATTTAATTTTATGAAGTGAGTTTAAAGTATTATTATTTAAGGGTATTAACGTATTTTTTTCTCTTTCTCTTTGACGATTTCATTTCAAAAGATTAATATCATTTGGTTTATTCATCAGTAATTAAACTCTAATTGGGAACATATCCTTGTAGGTAGTTAGAGAGGCAAGTAGATGGATAGATAAATGGATGGTTAGATAATTGGATAGCAACAGAGAGAGACAGGAAAAGAGAGAGAGAGAGAGAGAGAGAGAGAGAGAGAGAGAGAGAGAGAGACAGACAGACAGACAGACAGAGGGAGAGAGAAAGACACAGAAAACACACACACTCACACACAGAGGCGGGGGGGGGGGGGGAGAGACAGACAGACAGATAGATATAGAGATAGATTGCTAGGGGATGGTCCTCCTTAATAATGAGAATAATAAGCCCGAGAGTATAGGTGGTTGTGGAAATGCAAAATCTGCGGTTATTGGTTTATTGGGAGAAATATGAGAAGGGAAAAAAAGAGATGGCCAAGGCGTTCTTAGGTTGGTGTTGATGTTGCTTTAGTTGCTCGTGTTGTAGCTGTTGTTCGATAGATAATCAGAGATAGATAGAGAGAGAGTGTGTTGTTGTTGTTATTGCTGTTGTTTTAGTTGTTATTGATATTGCTGCACTTTTTTTTTTTTTTTTTTTTTTTTTTTTTTTTTTTTTTTTTTTTTGAAACGGATATGCTGAA